TATAACATCTTATTCTGTCAACAAAACCGGCGGCCAATTCTCGCCTTGCTTAGAAATAGCAGTTTCTCAGGTTCTTTGTTATAGGCACTCAGTGACCGATGGCCCAGGACTTTATTTTATTACCGGCTGTCGGTTAAACTGCTTTGGCCATCAAAACATCTGATCAGCCCGATCGACGACTTTGATCATTCTGATGACTGTCGCCTGCCTTATAACCGTGAAATTCTAGCAATTAATCATATTTTGTTGTTTGCCTGTGTCAGTCTCTGCTGCTAATCCTGTCACATAGAATCGGTTCTTTGTGGTTTCCTGATTCGATTTTTCAATTTATAGCACAGCTGTACGATAGTCTGAACATTTACGTCAACGGCAGCTGCGAAGGCAGTAAGGTTTTCCTGAAGTGCCCAAAATATACACAGATTCTCATCGAGAGGGCCTTTTACGGCCAGAACGTTTCAATGAATCAAGTATGTTCGTCCGCGGCGAATGATTTTGCCCAGCCAGCCGAAATCAAGCTCAGCAAAAATATGGACGTGCAGCAGGAGAGATTCTTGGAGTCTATGGATGGAGTTGTTTGCGAAATTTCAAACGCACAAACGGTAAGTATTCATAGATGTATCAAAATAAGTGAGAACCTACTCCAGCGTTTCGAAGGATGTTTTGTCTTAATTATTGACCTGGTAATTTCTAATGAATTGTGGAATCGAACTCCAATCGAATATGAATCCAACTGGCGCAAAAATCGTTAATTCGCCTGCCGACATAAATTGCAGTACTTTCATTTAATAGAATCATACGGTAGTTAAAATCTATGCGCAAATTTGAAATAAAGTAAAACGACTGAAATTCTTAACTGATGCACTCCTGCAATGGCTAATCTATCTGATTGGCATAGAGGTATTTGGCCTAGAGCCAAAGGTATGTTTTTAGGCCGGTCTGCTGGTTAAGTAGTTTTTGGATCACGGGCTTGATATAGCTTGTGTAATCCGCACAGAGTTCGTATCCATTGTCCTGTTTTCCCAGGATTGGATAATTAAGGCTTCTTTGATGAAAAAAAGACCGACATCATTCACTGACCAGGGACTGGGGTTTACTCTGACTTCATCGTTGCGGCTGAGGCCAGCCTTCCGTTAGAGAATTTGATGAAGGTCAGTGCGGCGCATCCCCAGTCACAAGCACGGTGAAACCACTGTCACTTTCACTCTTTCATTCCGGTCCCTGGTACGACTGATGAATCTAAAGCAGAAGTTGCTTAATTGCATATAGCGTTAAGTTGCATTGCCTTATAATGATAAAAGTTAATGTTCTACGTCTTTATTAAGGCAGCATTCGGTTCCCATCAACTTTATAGCCCACAGCAATATACTTATTTTTTACCAATGTAGATCCTTGCACATCTCTCTGAAATGGTATATAGCATTTTCCAGTTGTCAAGAAATCATGAAATTCGCTGGAAGACAGATGCTGTTGAACATGGTTGTAACACAAGGAAACGCATAAGATAAATGTTGCAACAGGCTTTTTCGTAAAATGTTTAGAGAGGCAATGTTATAATTACCTCATCAGAGCATCTTGTGAAAGGCATTGATTAGTCATTGCGCTTCTGTTTTAGGCTGGCTACTGCAGGGCTCACTGTAATTGGTTATTCAGCTGCTCTAGTTCAACTTTGTTTCACTGTATCTTATTCAGCCAGCTGCTGTGTTTTAGAAAGTCGTGGAATCGTGCCAGAATAAACGCAAGTGCAAAATCAATGTAAACGCTCGATTTTTTGGACGAGATCCATGTCCTTCCACGTCAAAGTATTTTCAGGTGTTCTACCGGTGTAAACCCAGTAAGTTTCGGTTCTAAAACTATGAACGAATCTGTGTTGCTTAAGGTCATGTTTCTGAATAGTTTGATGTTGTTGCGTATTGGTTCCGGTAGGTTAGGCTTCTGTCGATGCGATTTATTTACTGCTTTATTACTGAGGAGCAGACCGACTCGGTGAATCTGTTATTTTTCATCATCACTAATTACCTGTACGTCTGTCGTATTTAACCAAACGGCAGTCGACGCATAGAAGCTGTTAGAACTTCGAATTTGAGTGTTATATAACCAGTTCAAATGAAGAAAGCAGAATGTTTGTGTTTCAGGTCAATTCATAAGCGAACACTTGTGTGAAGGTGATCGTCTTAACCTAAGCTGTCCCTCCGGTCAACGGCTGAGCTTCTATTCGTCCTCGTACGGTATTCTAAAGCTGAAGGACAGCAGCACGCTGTGCGGTGAAACACAGGGCTTGAGCCAAGCAGGTAAGCGAAGACCACAGAAACATTATATTTGCGCAACCTGGCCATTCAGACTGCAGCGTGGACGTATTACCAGAAATTCTAAGGCGGTGCCAGGCTCAACCGGTGTGCAGCTTCGTAATTTCCGACAGCGTGTTTTCTCACACATGTGGTTCGCAAGTAGTGAAGCAGCTTATTGTCATTTTCATTTGTGGTAATTATTAACGACTTTTAAAAAGTTTTCTTCGATCTTGCACTTTAGCGGATGACGTGATTTTTACTGAAAAAGCACTTCGTGGCGAAGCATACAGCAATGGGATGAACGACCCCGTTGCACCGCTTGTGGTTACGGCATTTAGCATAATTGGTGAAGGTATGCTTTTTCTCATTGGCGTTATTATAGTTCAGACGATGCTTGTTTCCATTCTTTTTACCCCTCCATTAGTTCCAGCCTAACTTTGTCCGCATGAAAATGCCGTATTTCTCTGTATGCTTGTTCACCACTGTGATCATTTTCTTTCCTTCGTCTGCTCTTTCCCATGATTTTCCCAGGTGCTTCCATGTCTTGAGAATGTCAGTATTTGATGAAACCCACAGATTCAAAAATGTTCTGATTCTTATGGCAGAAAGCAAAGAATTCGAACAGTTACTTAATGGTTATGACATCTTTATTAATATCACAATATGACTTTATGAGCCTCAACATAATTTGAAATGTAGGACCATTGTCGTCGGTTTTGCACCATTGATGACCTGTTTTGAAATCGCTTCTATTTTTTTCTTCGTTTGGCACCGAGACTTGCATTATGGTAGTGTGATTCGTCTCTATTGTGTCTCTGGTACACGCTTACACATTTCTCTCAATGTCATCTTTTGAGAAGCGTTCGGCCCAACCGAGTTTTCGTACGCTCATCGAAAGCATGTGCTATCAGACGGATCTAACGGATCAGTGATGGTCGTCACGCCACCATTATCCATGCCATCTAGTATGCCGAACGCGATCGGTTTCGTACAGAACTGGATAACCACATGGACATACATAACCGGTGAGTGCGGCGATGCTCAACGTGCCAGTCATAAAAAACGTTTACTTACTTGCAGAAAATAAAGAGAAGTTCGTCCTGTACTTCTTCCTGTCCGCCAGTGTTGGCGTCATCATGCTTCTAGTGATGTGCATAGCGCAGCAATGCTTCCGGCATAACCACAAAGCTCTGTGTGACGCAGGCACTAGTCACGACGCAACCACCATCGCCAACTACGTGCCAAGCCGTAAGTTCACCGTGTGACAGCTTATTTGTTGGCCCATGAAAATGTGCCATAGCCAACCGTTACCAACCATAACGTATCCACGCCTATTTTTGCTGTTCAGCGCCCAACGAAGATTTAAGCAGAGTCGATGCATCGAGGGTCAATACGATACTGTACGCTTCACAAATTAAGTGTTCTACACGACTGCAGGCAGCGCAGACCATGGCACTTGATTGGTTGTTTCTCAATAGTTGAAAGTGCAAGAAAAGATGCTATTACGTAACAGTGCGGATAGCGGGAACCAATGAGTCGCTTGACTGAACGCTACGTACTGTCGTAAGGACCACGTACCTACCGTGGTACCGAATCGGTAGCTGATGTACTTAAGACCGTTTGAATTCATGTGTAATTTCTACGAACGAAGATCCATAATTCGAACCTCGACTTGTTGAAGAGGGCCACAGCGAAGTGGTTGGGCATATTTTCTGTAGTTGCTAGAATAGCTGAGGCTCTAAAACATTGCGTTAGCTAGGCAATAATGACGGCTGCTGAAGACTGACACCTGTTTCTTCATTTTAAAAATTAATCTCGTAGTTACGACGAAACTGTGGCTGCTAACGATATGGAAAAATTGGAAACAAACATCCGTGTGTATTTGTTGCCAGCTAAAGCGTTACTGAATTTTTCAGAACGCTGTTTCATTTTTTAACCGAGGATTAATTTGGAAGCCCGCGATAGTTCGTGCAAGTTTTCGCATCGTTTCAGTACTTAGACACCCTGATTATTTTTAGGCTCTCTGCAATTGTTAAAAGATGTGAAATAATTTTTCATTATTTTATTTACAAGTTTGTTGTTGACCGAAGACGGTAAAGACGAAATCAGTTATGACATAAGTCTAACCGTACCGTAAGGCATGCGTACAGATTTGCACTGTGGTAATTTGCGTAATTTCCCGCGTCATAGCAGCAAGAACTAATCTTGCTGTGGCAGGGCAGAGAGGTAAATTCCTTGCTGAAAGAAATGAACAGCTTGTGAAAGAAATTTACGCCACTCATGAATCAAGGCTCAATGGTTTCTACGCGTAGAGACAACAAACCACTGCGACAGTGTTCTTGTCAATCAATAAAAACTGTTAAAACCGGCTTGTCCATGCTTTAAACCACTTTTACTATTGTTTGATATTTGTAGTAGCATGTTAATGTCGCTCCGTACTAGAACTTATTCCACCGTTCTAGCCTCATGGAAGCTGACTTGTTAACGCGCTAGAAACATGTCTACACCAGCGTAGGTCACGAAGCGCTACTAGCTTCCTAACTATCCGGTCTTTCTCGCGTCATTAGCCTCAATCATTTCTTGTGCGTTCTCGTCCTCCGCATTCTTCCACATGCAGTGCGAGAACTTTCGTTAGCAATCTGATTGATTGGGTGCGTCCTTCTGCGTGCCTACACTGTTTAACCAAGTCTTTATCTTGCTTATTATTATTATTTCATTCGCTAACGTTCCCACCTCCTCGCCAGTTAGTATGAATTCTGCCTTATATAATTTATATAGTACGGTGCGGTCTGCCTCAAACACGTTATCGCTGACACTGTGCATTTACGTTTTGTAGGGTTCACGCGTTGACAAAACTAGCTTCATGCTAGTGAGACGGGTTATTTGATAAATTTTGAATAGTTTCATTCAGCACCTTCAGCGGGTAACCGTTCTTTTGCAACTAAAACCTAATGTGACTTAGTTGTCCGCGAAATTCACCTTTCATGACTCAGATCTGCGACAGTTTGATGTTTGCTCTTGAATGGAGTCACAAAAAACTCTATTTTCAGCATAAGCAAAAACGAACGATTATCACGGTGAATGGTTGCACACAACGAATAAATAACAGTATTATTTTACGCTGAGCATACGAATATAGCGACCATACCTTCTTCGATGTCGAGCGTCGCGCGAGATTCTCGTTTCTGACACCTTCCTGAATGTCCATGAGGAAAGTTCCGCAACGGTCCTACTGGGTATTCAGATAGCTTGGCGGGAATAATGCAACTTGCCAGTCATCTGCTGATGAATTGGGGATACGGTATTACACATTTCACCGCAAAGAAAGAAACGACAACGTAACCCGACTGCAAGGAACGATAAATTGGAACCAAGGAAGTACATAAAGATGTAATGTAAAAGAAGGTACTTCGAGCTGAACTGCCAGGTCGAGGCGTCCAAAGTGCAAAGTACAGCAGAGCGATTACCAATAAAGACAAAGGAAACGGACAACCGACTACTGCACCTACCTACTGATCGACTGTAAAGATGGAGACGTTAACCAAGGTGTTAACCTTGCATAGACGCGTACACCACCTTTCATTACGCTTTCTGGATGGTAAGAAGAATAACGCAGACTCCAATCCGTATATCCGTACATCTTGTGACACATTATGGTCGAACATCCCTGCTAGCGTTGTTTCACTAGCATATCCAAGTACGGTATTCTGATGTCTTCTTTTTCGAACAAGACAGTGCCTGACAGTGGCAGATGTTCTAAAAGATTCAGATGTTCTAAAAAAACGGTATTTCACAACCATTTTTACACTGTCATTAAAAATGTCATCTATATCTTTTGAAAAAGGTAGGATATTTCTCTTGATTACGCTTACTCAAGAGAGTTAAGTACCTAGTATTTACCTAGTTAGACTAAATATTCCATAACCAGGCCAGCCAGAGTAGGGGACAGGGAGATCCCAATAGGATTTGTATTGGCGATATAAACCCAATGTAACATCCTAGCAGATTAAAAATGGCTTCAGTTCTTAACTAATGAATAATCATTCAGCATGTAACGTTTTAATTTTAGAAAGCGAGTCTCGCATCGAACTGGATGACCTGGAACAGGGAGGCATTTCGTTCATGCGATTCAATCACCCGACTCCGCCGCTGTCAGCTCGAACAGTGCATCACTATTACAGCTGACGAAAGCACCATCTAGCCGACGTGCTACTGCCTTCCCGAGAAAACTAGCATCATTCAACAGCCGGATGCGGAAAGTGCGCGCAGACGTCTAGCATATATGAGGATCGACATTCGACAACGAACTCGACAAAAAAGCCGAACGGAATTTTGCAAAAGCGCTACTTAACACCAAATACATCTTTTACTTACAATTAACCTTCTTACATTGTTGTACAGCAACTGAGTTACAGTTCTGAAAACTGCTTATGCAGAGGACCATTCGGGTCGAGTAAACTTATACCGTAATAAACACAGTGAATCGAAATTTCAGCTTTTTCCATTTAAATAGTCTTCGTTGTGGTCTGGCTGTAACTCAAACAGAACGTCGGCAATTGTGGCCGCAACCGGCGAGTCCATCAGAGACGACATCGTGAAATGTAGCAAACGCAAGTTCTGCCGAAAGAAGTACTTCTGGCATGGAGGAATCTTGGCTATACA